TGGCTGGTTGACTGCCGGCTGCACAGCTCTGCATTCTGCTCTGCTGTGGGTGGGAGGCTGGCCTGCGGTAGCCAGGAAACTGACAACAAACAGGGGCGTGGAGCTCCCCTTTGTAGCGGTTGATCGTCAAGACATGAAGTTTGTGGCGAATCATTATTTTCTCCTCCGGCATCTGTCTGACAGCTGTCATGAACCCCTGAGCTTCTGCAGTGTTGCTGTCCACACATGATCTGTTTCTCAGTGTTCCCTGCCTTTGGGCAGCAGTTAATACTGGCTTGCCTTTTGTCTTGGGACTAATCCATTGAAGAAATCGCCTGAGGGTTTTTCTGAAGTGGTTTTCTGGAGGAACCCGTTTCTTTGTTGGCAAGGGCTGGTGTCGTTCACCATAAAGAGTGTCCTCTGTTCTCCTGACCTGGGTAAGCTGGGAGGTTCCCAATTCTTCAAACCTTTCTTTGTGCTTTTCTGAGTTGAGCTTCCTACCACTCTCACTCTTGTAAGCAAGGGCAAACAACTCACTTTGAGTCTGGCATGAGTCCTGATATTCGGGGATCTTGTGAAGGGCGTCTTCGGTTCCCCTGACCGGGGTAAATTGGGAGGTTCCCAATTCTTCACATCTTTCTTTGTGCTTTTCTGAGTTGAGCTTCCTACTGCTCTCACTCTTGTAAGCAAGGGCAATCATCTCCCTTTGAGTCTTGCTTGAGTCCTGATATTTGGGGATCTTGGGCTCCTGCGGCCCCAGGCTGCTCCCTCTGGCTGCCATGAGGTCACCTAGCACCTGGGATGCTGGCCTGTCCCCAACAGGTGCACTCTGGAGGTAGCTCTGGGGCACCTGAGAAGCCAAACTGTTTGCATCAAGGAGTACATCAGAGACACTATCTGGAAGGAGCACAGGAGAGCCACAGACACGAGGCTGATAGACTTCTGACTTTGCTGCCACTCCGGGCTCAAACTCACTAACCATCCCCGCCAGAAGGCAGAGATCTTCTGGATCTCGGGCAACACACATTCTAGGGGGTGGAGGGCTTTTACTGGCTCCTGGAGCCTCTAAACCACGCACATGCTCATTTGTGGCTTGGAAGCTTGCCTGCATACTGGATCCCAAGATGACTCTATGTTGTGGCACTGCTGCCCTGGTCTCCTCAGCCCTGGAAGACTGAGATCCTAAGTTCCTGCTCTGCTGGGTTCTGCCCATGAGGCTGTATCTGAGGGGCTGAGAAGGCCACCTGCCCTCCTGTCCAGGCAGAGGGGCTGCCGAGGGCCCACAGTCATTATTAGATGGGGCCCCTCGCATGGCTTTCTGGATTGTCTTATGTGCGGAGGAAGCAGCAAGATGGCTGGTCAGTGTGGAGAATGACTCTTCTCTTGTCCCCTTCTTTCTCAGACCTGCCTGACATAGTTCTTCCAGGAATTTGGCCTCAGATTCACAGGTGGCTGAAGGGTGAAAGGCACTCCGTGGAAGGGGTGAGGATTGAGCCTTTTTCAACTTAAGGACGTTTATGGGCTTGAGGACCTTGAGGGGTAAGCTCCACCTGTGCTTCACCCAACACCTTGCAACATGCTTTCCAAGATCCTGTTGCACGCATGGACTGAGGAAGGAAAGATCCTGGGAAGTGTTCACACAGGTTTCCAAACTTTT